AGTAAATACATTAACATATAGTGCAGCAAAACAATATCTAATAACCAATTGTAGCAAATACATATTGCCATACACATTCAATAGGTTTAGCAACAAGTACAAAAAAAAAAAAAAATGCATGAACTGCCCTACATGTTTAGGTTAGGTTGGGTTGCATGAACTGCCCTACATGTTTAGGTTAGGTTGGGTTGGGTTGGGTTATTGAATTGGGTTTAAGAAGATTAGAACTGGAAAAGGAATTAAGCTGGGCAATTTAGGTTAGGTTGGGTTAGCTAGTTAGGTTAGGTGAGTAAAAATTAATTAGTAATATACTTACAAATATATAAAAAAACAAATTTATTTTTTATTATATGTGGATCTCTACATGTTTCCACGAGATGGAGGAAATTTTTTATGAAATTTCGTGGAAAAAAAATGCCTCCATCCCCACATCACAATGAAAAGTATTCTTGAAATCTCCTTCCCTAAGGATCTCTACAGAGTTTTACATGTTTCAAAAGAAATTGCCATATCTAAATAGAGGGATAGGGACTGACTTGCCAACCCCTAAATTTTAAATTTTTAGATATTATCGCCTTGGTCAAAGTAATTGTGGTTATTAAGCTACAATATTCGTTAGTTTTGTGTTATAACCACTTGGAAAAGGGCTGATAAAGACAATTAAATATTTGAATAACTTTACAAATAATCTTAATATTTTATATACTAGGATGTTTTGATTTTTTTTGAATATATAATATATAAGTTGGATTTTATATTTCTTTTTTCAAAATTTTATGTGAAATACAATTTGCCCACTATCCAAATATATCACAATTCTCTCAATATATATTGGACTAAAACTTGTATGAAACATCCACCAAAAAACTTGTATAAAGCCTCATAAGAACCCACAACTTTTAAATTTTGAGGTCTCAATCTTTGTGAATAAATCCAAAACCCCATATAGTTTAAAATTGATTTTTCCTAGTCGGTACATTTTTTTTTAATAACAGAAAAAGCAAGACAAACATGTACCAAAAAAAAAAAAAAAAAAAAAAAAAACGAAAGGGGAAAGGGGATGAAAGTCAACAGCTGAACTTTTACCAAGACCCAGTTGACACAACACTGTACACTAAATAGTTGGCAGTTGCTGCTTTAATTAGTACTCAGTAATTTTTTGTAAGAAATAATTCAGGAGACAGTGCCTCAACCAAGTCTTGGTCGTCGCTGTTGCATGTCCGTGATTTTTTTAATTACATCAGAGTTAAAAATTAATGCATCAGCCGACGGATCTGTTCCATGTGCATGATTGATTATTTGTCATTTATATATATTATTTTGTATATTAAAAGTTATTTAGCATTGTAAAATTTTAAATTTTTTATCTTAATTTTAAATTATTATATATTAATTCAGCCAAGGTCTTATTGATTATTTGTCATTTATATAAACAAAACTAAACTATGAAAATTAAAAATGAATTTGGTGACCATATCAAATCATGCCGGTGTGAGAAAATCATGACATTAGTGGTCTTCCTTTCTAATTATCCTTCAATCAATCTCATTGATTTTTTTTAAGTCATCCAATAAATTGAATTAGAATAGGGACGTGTTATAGGAATAATTTTTTATATTATTTTTTGATACAATTTTCATATGTTATTAAATAAATAGATGCATTTAATATCACAAATATATATGACTAAAAAAAACTAATCATATAAATGACAAGTCAGATTATACAAAAAAAATTACCCCAAAATCATTTTCCATTACAATAACATGCCACATGGAGCAAAGTCTAAGTGTTTAATGCATATTTAATTATTTGGAATTGGAAGATTTTATTTTTATAAATTTTTTTAATAAATTCATATAAATTGATATAGAAATACTTTGATTATTAAATTTAGAAAATATATTATTATTTTTTTTTAAATCTAGAAAATTTTGAAAAAAAATATTATAACTATTTTAATAAAAATTTATAATCAATCCTTACTATTAATCAAAGTTTTTAAAATCGGACCGGTCATTGAACTGTTTTCAGGTTCGGTTCCCGGTTCAACCGGTGAACCAGTTGGTCCAAACAGCAAGGAACATTTGATGAGAGGAGCAAGCTGCAGGCATGGATTTTTTAATTTGGTATTTGATAATTTTGTAATTTTGTTAAAATTAAAGGTTAAAATGGGTATAAGAATGGAATGGGCAGGGTGAAATTGGAAAAAATTGAAAGAAGATTGCATAAGAAATTGAACTAGTGGTTTTTTCGGTTCCACCGGTTTCATCGGTTTTCACTAGTTTTTATCGATTTTATCGGTTTTCACTGGTTTTTGACCGATTTTGACATCAAATGGTTTTTTTATATAAATCGAAACGTTTTCATCACCGTGTACTGGTCTGACCGGTTCAACCGATCGGTTCGGTCCGATTTTAAAAACCTTGCTATTAATAGCACTTGTAAGGTAGGCTTAAAGGGTTTGGCTGGCCAAAACGGCAATTCTTGAGTTGTATTGATGGGGAACACCATTTGCCAAACCACAAGAAACCACCCCACGATTGCTCCATTAGAGAAAATCTACGCACTACTTTCCAGTAGCAGCCTACCAGGGCAAAGGATTTAGGCAGGCCATCAGCATCGTCACCACTCTCCACATCTGTTTCCATGGCGGCAAGCCTATTTTCTAGCCTAACAGCCTAACAGCCAAACCCTTTCGTTTGTTCCACTCCTCACTCCTCACTCCACATCTCCAACCCCGCACCACTATTTTCTCCTTTGCTTCATTACCATTAGATGGTTAGAACTCAGAAGAAATCCAAATTCACAATTTGTTTCATGTTGGAGTAAAAGAAACAAGATTCCTGAATGAAATCGTCACAGAGGAGGTGGGATTAGATGATATTAAGGATACCCAGATCTAAATACCCACACATGTAGCGGAGAAGATAACCTAAAAGAGATCTGAGAGGACAACATACCTGTTTACGACCGTGATGTCCAGTTTCGGCATCACTTACGAGTGGCAATTTGTCCCGATCCCCCAGGCTACGGGCCCCACGAGGATCTTTACCAGGGGGACAGGGTGAAAAGGAATATTCTTTCTCATGGGGCGGGGATGGGGGGCATTTTCCCCTCGTGAAATTTTGCAAGGAATTTTTCCAACCCCATTGGGCCTCGCAATGACCCATCCTTGTGAAAAATTTTAAAAAATATAAAAATTAATTTCTCTTTAAATTTAATATAATTTTCAAAACAAAACCCAATTTTTTCCAACTTAACTTAACCCAATCATTTTAACCCTAAGTAACCTTATTCATTTCTCTAGTTCTCACATTACCTCTGCCTCTCACTCTCGGACTCTCTCTATCTCTCACCTAGGTCACTTTCGACCTTCCCCTTTGGCCCTCCTCTACGAATCTCAAACTTTAAATCCCTCGATTCCCTTCATTGCTGCCCTTCTACCCTTCTCTATTTCACATCTCACCCTTCTGCTTTGAACACACTGCTGCTATTGAACTGGATCCATCTGGAGTTTGGATT